CGAATACACGAACTGCCAGTCAACCACCACGTGCTTATGGAGAGAAGAAGAAGAAGGCTGTAGTTGATAATTGATACAATTTTTAATTAGTTGGTTAGAAATAGAATTAGTTAGTTAAATCAATTAGTTCATTAGTTCATTATTAAGTAAATATATAAATATACTCTATAAAATTAGTGTGATTAAGTCAATACAATAAAAAAAAAAATTCATCTTGAATTTTACCACTCAAAACTCAATTTCAGTTATGCTTCTCTTTCTCTCTAAACTCATTTCTAATAAAGCTGTTATAAATATCTAGAATTCTGGTGTGAAATTTGAAAACGAACCGAGCGGCTGTCCGTTGTTTCTCTCACTCAACCTCTTCACATATAACCTACCGTTTACGACTTCTACCACAACCAGCAAAATGGAGAGAAAACAAATCCCAGAAGTGCTACTAAGTTCAGGTCACAAGATGCCATTGATAGGGATGGGAACTACAGCAACCACTCTTCCACCATCAGAAATTCTCATCCCTACTTTCATTAATGCAATAGAAGTTGGATATCGCCATTTCGATACTGCTGCTCTTTATGGCTCTGAAGAGTCTCTAGGACAAGCAGTGGCAGAAGCATTAGAACGAGGCCTTATAAACAGTCGTCAAGATTTGTTCATTACTTCCAAGCTGTGGTGCTCGGATTCTCACCCTGATCTTGTTCTCCCAGCACTCAAGAAGTCACTCCAGTAAGTATAAATTAACAAACACCAGATTAGAACTTCTCAGAAACCAAAAACAAACCCCAATTATATGTCGTATAATATTTGTGTTATCTTTTGTTAAAATCATTTATTTATGTATTTAGTGTTTCCTGATATTTTTAGGAGGTTGGGATTGGATTATGTGGATCTTTATCTGATTCATTTGCCAGTAAGGTTGAAACAAGAAGTTGAGGGCCACAATTTTACCGAAGAGGATTTGCTTCCCCTTGACATAAAAGGAACATGGGAAGCCATGGAGGAGTGTTCAAGATTAGGTTTGTGCATGTCCATTGGTGTAAGCAACTTTAGTCCCAAAAAAATATCTCAGCTTCTTGAACATGCAACCATCTCTCCTGCCGTTAATCAGGTAAATTAATTTATGAATGTTAAAAGGTAATATAAAAATATTCTTGTAGTTTTCACTTAGTAGCTTAAACTTTTGGGTTGATGAAATATTTTTTTGACATGATATCAAAACATTTATAATCAAATTGTCAAAAGTTTCAAATTTTATCATCATTACTTTGTCTTCTTATTTAAAATATTAAGCACAAGATAGTAATAGATATATAGAAATTTTAAGTCCTAAGGGTTTTTACTAGAAAGTATGTATTACAGAGTGGATCTATATAAATTTTAAGTCCAAAGGTTTTTACTCGAGAGATTGTGTACGAAAGTAATATAAAATTATCCTTCAAGTCTCATTTAATAGTTTAAGTTTTTGCGTTAAGATATTCGTTTTACAATGTATCAAATTAAAAATTGTTACAGGTGGAAATGAATGCCGCATGGCAACAGAAAAAATTGCTACAATTCTGCAAAGATAAAGGGATTCACGTGAGTGCATGGTCTCCTTTGGCAGCCAACGGAGCCGCCTGGGGTTCTCTTGCAGTGATGGAGAGTCCAATCCTTAAAGAAATTGCTGTTGCAAAAGGAAAGAGTGTTGCTCAGGTGAACATTTCATTCTTTTCTTTTCTTTTTTTTTTTTAATCTTAAAATATATCATTCTGCATATCATATCCTTGAAAGTTATAGATATTTATATATATAGCAGGCTTTTGATTAATTAGTAATTACTAACCACTGAATTATATAATAAATCTATCGATACTTGAGCATAAGTGATTAATCAAATAATTTTTCGTCCTCCTCCAAAATTGATTCAAAATTAACATTGCTATATATATAAGCAGGTTGCGCTAAGATGGATACACAAGCAAGGGGCAAGTGTGATTGTGAAGAGTTTCAGCCAGGAGAGGATGAAACTAAACCTACAAATCTTTGACTGGGAATTGAGCAAAGAAGATATAGAAAAGATTAAGCATATTCCACAGCGAAGGGGATTCTCGGGAGAAAAGTTTGTATCTAAATATTACGGTGCTTACAAGTCATTGAAGGAACTTTGGGATGATGATGACCAATGAAGGAATTTTGGGAGTAATAAGCAACATGCATTTGAAATTATGTAAGTTTTTGTGCTTGTTGAAATTGAATACTTAGTTTTTTTTTTTTTTTTTTTTTTTTTTTTTGAAGTGTTGAAAATGAAGGATATTGAAGTTGACGATTAGTTATATAGTGTAGGGATTATCTGTTAATTTACTCTTCCTAGCAGGATTGTATCCAGTCATATAATCTCCATAAACTCGTATTTCTATATACATATACTTGAAAGCATACATTGATGAGCTTTCAACAATAGGTAGACCTTTATTACTGATTTTTTATCTTTACCTTTTTAAGGACTTAGGTGGTGAGTTTCGGGATCTAGTAACCATCCTCACAGCTAGGCCGGAGCCTGTCTCCTTTACTGAGCTCTCACAGATATTCATTTCGCTCTTTACTTTGACCTGCTCCTACTCCTAGCTCCCTTTAGTTAATGACTCCATCTGCCCATTATTCAAATCGGCAAGTTGTTGGTGTTAAAAGAAACTCACCAGCAGATTTTTATCTCGTTGTAACAAATCAGATGGCATTAATTCGGGATATTGGAAGTCCGTTTTTTCAGCCTACTAAACGAGATGGCAGATCTTTCAGGTGAAAGTGGGAGGCTATCCAAAATCTGTAGATAAAGCTATCCCGAAAGCTCCAATTGAGTACTCTGTCGAGATTAAAAAACTTGTAACACAATGATAATGATCTCTTATAATAAAAAATAACAGATTTAAATATTAACAAATTAGTTCTATTAAGAACCTTGACGTGTCAGTTGAAGAAAAAAAAGTACTCTGTCGAGGATTGTTGAAAAAAAGTCTAGTGAATACGGTGAGGGCTAAGAAAATTATTCCTTCTCTAGAGGAACGTTTTGATTTAGCTAGAGTGATGGTGAACACCCGAGAAATCAAGGATCATATAAAGAGGAAGTTAAGCGTACCTATCGATAATGAATAAGTCCATGAAATTCTTGTTGTCGAGGAACCTCGCCTCTAAATCTTCTCTTCATGGTTTGACAGAAAGCCTGAATCTGTTAAGACTGATAATCCTATTAGGAATATTTAACAAATAATTTGGAATGGTAAATTCAAAACTTATCATATGGTTTTCATACCTCCAAAATTATACTTCTTTAAAGGCACACTGCCCAGGGCCAGTTCTTATTTGTGCAAAAACAGTGGAGGTAAAGCCCTTAATGTTGTTTTTTGGGTTCCATTTGATTTAATGTGATAAACTGGCCTCTTTCCCAATCGTTGCGTGGCTTGTCGTGGTCATGGTCAGACCTCCATATTTTGTTTGTTTACTGAACTATATGTACTATGAAAAAGAAAAAGAAAAAAAAAATCTATGTAACATCATTTTCCATCTCCCATTTTTAGTTTTCTTTTTCGTTTCCAATAGATCTGAAAATTGGAATTGTGGCTCCAATTTTGTTAAGGTACATTGGCAGGCTGGATAAGAAAACATGTTTTTCGCTTTGCTCCACGAACCAGATAGAGCTGAAAAACATACCGATCCCATGGTACTTTTCCTCTATAGCAATTTTGTCCCAAAAAATGTCGGTGCATCACATTATTATCAGAAATGGCAGCTAGAGATCTAGGATCGATTATGTTAACTTATCAGAACTGGCAGCTAGGATTATGTAAACTTAATTACAATCTGTTTCATACTGTTATTGATCATTTTGCAAGTAGTATATAGTCGTTGGTGGAGTAATTTGGTATGGGTATAAAATGAAAACATTTAAAAATTAATTAGCTTAGGGCTTGAGAGACACTGTTTTTAAAGTGTATTGATAATTTTGGTGTCAAATGTTCAATATTATGATATTTATATCCATCTCCACAAGAAGGATCCACTATCTTAACACTCTTTAATTTATTACATCTCAAAAATGCCTTCTTATGAACAATTTTTTTATAAAAAAATACCTTTTTTTTTCCTTTCAATACAAACTACACAGACAATCGTAACATTATAAAAATAGCTATAGTCACAACCTTGGCCCTTATGTGGAACGAGGGCAGGGTGAAAGAATCAATAAATTGACTTTTTATAAAAAAAATAAATACTAAGTTGTGAAAATTAATGTGAAAAAAAAAACTTATAGTATAAAGTGTTTGTACATGGTGGTCTTGTTAATTAGTCAGCGACTAGAGGGTCAAAGAGATAACGTCTTTTGTGAGAATTCAGAAGAGAAGATTCGAAAAAGTTTATAGAGTATTGGATTAGGTATATGAATTTATTAAGTATTTGAACATGTTATTTGATAAAAATTAATAAAAAAATTATAATGTAAAATTTTTATGTTGTGTGATTATTATTATTTTTTTTCTTGATTCGTTTTTCTAACATCGAAGTCGAAGCTCAAAACAAAGACTCTAAGGTTGGAAGTTGTTGTGACCTAAAAATTGATATAAACGAGGAGCTTGCTCAAATCTCAGCAACGGAGAAGAATTAAATGAAGAGAGGGACCATGCTTAGGGGAGAGAGAAGGGAGATAGAAACGAGAGTAGTGGGATATTTAACGTCCAAACTTTCCTGTAATTTATTTGAGTGGGCCAAGTGTCATGTTTTCATACTATTATCCGATCAGAATGACATATTATTTATTAAAAAATAATTTATAATAATCAAATCAATTTTTTAAAAAAATTATGAACATTTCTCCCGTGTTGCCACGTATATTTTGGTGTATGGAAATTTTGGGTCGATTTCCTTTTCCTCCGATTCTAGCTAGCCTGGGCTCTCATTCACAGTCTAGTGGTGCACCTTATGAAGTTAGTAGTCTGACTTTGAATCATCCCTCTATGAATGAGCTACAATTATTTGCCAACTTTATCAGGCCCATTGCTGATGCAGAGGAAATTACTGAGCTTGAAAGACAAAAGATTATAAAGGATAAGAAGAAGAAACAAAGAAAATTTTGCATCCGCTGTCTTGGGTTTTCTTCTAAAAAGAAACCCAGGAAAGAAATCTTTCTAAATGAAATAGCAGCTGCTGTTCTTGAAAACTGCAACATGAATCGTATATTCGGTAAAGAAGCTCCTTTTGCAGCCCCTTCCCCACTCACCCCACCACCCCCCCCCCCCCTAACGATCCTCTGTTTCTTTGACGAGAAAGGCATATAGGTTCATTGAAAAATAATTAAAGACTGCTTTGTTTGTTGGAATAAGCTCAGGGGTTGTTCTTAGCATTCATAAGGAAGTAATTGAGAGCGAACTGGCTGATATTATTGTGAAAGATAACACGGATTGGATAAAGAGTAGGGGCTGGCAATGAAAGAACCTGTGCAGGATTTTGTGATGAGGGATGGATGTTCACATCATATAGTTAAATGATAAATAACATGCACTTTTGCAACCTTAGTTGGGTTTTTTTTTTTTTTTTTTTTTTTTTTTTCAGTATAAACATAGAGGAAATTATAAATTAGTCACTCTCATTTAAAGAAACAAATTAATTAATTATTTTCTTTTAAAAAACCAATTATTCAGTTTTTCACGTTTTAATTCTGTCAATAATTTAAATTTTTTTTATAAATTTTCTATTAAATTAGTGATTTTTTTTTTCTAAAATTGGCTTTATCTTAATTTTTGATTGAAGAGAAAAAATAAAAGTTCTCAAAAAGTTGAAATAAAGCATAAAAAAAAAAAGCAATTTAAAAAAATTACTAATCTAAAAAAAAATTGATAAAAAAAAAACTAAGTTATTGATAGAATCAAAACATAAATAACTAAATAATTAGTTATTAAAATAAGAAAACTAATTAATTTATTTTTCAAAACAAGAGAGGCTAATTTATAATTTACTCTATAAACATAATACAGTTCATTAAAAAAAAAATTACATCCGTTTGTTACAAATAAGAGATGTTCATTTGAACATAAATTATTTTACACTGCAGAGAACATAAACGTCAACTGAGCTACCAAAAAAAAAGAATAAAGTTCCGAGCAATTGACACATTGGAAAATTCTAATGCAAAATAATAAGTTAGCTCAATACTTCCCAAAATTTCTGAGTTACATCACAAAACAACAATATCAAACAGACCTTACGCTCCCCGATGTTTAAGCTCAGGACACGAATTGTTAGTTCCATACTTCAAATATGGTAGGGCTTAATGCTTATTGCTCTCTAGTTACTAAGATGGTAGAGTAAATTGGAAAAAACAGTCGAGGAAACCAATAAATACTGTTCTGGAAAAAGGGTAAATACGAAATATTAATTCAAGAAATATAGACCTACAGGCAAAACTTCAATGCCAACATACATTGAGGAGCTTGAACACCCATTTTGGATAGGAAGAAATGCAAGTTAGTATGTTTTGTATTAGAGCAAAGTTCAAAAGAGATATCATCTAATCTGGATGTTATGGACTTCGATAACAGAGCCTTTTTTCCCCCTGCACAATGCGTAACTTCAATGGCATTGATTAACAATATCCTATGCCATTGCAGATAATAATCCGTACAAGAATGCAAAATTCTTTGCACCAAAGTGCTTAATATTTCAAGTTCCAAACCGGTTGTCATTCAAAATTAATAAGCATAGAAGCATATCGCAGCTCGATCCAGAATAACATATGCAGTAATCAAGAGTGGACAGAGGATACTATTTACATTTGAGTCGTAAAGCACTAGAGCCCACAGACACTCTTAGTCACACAGAAAAAGGTTTAACACAACCATCTCCTTTCAATCATTATCACAGGGCAGCCTGTATGTACGGGTGATGCGAATCTGAGGCAAGAACAGAAAACTTATTGGCAATTACAGAAATCAACATGCATAAAAAAAAAAAAAAAAAAAAAAAAAAAAAAAAAACACCACATTAAAGCGTTCATTCCAACAGATAGCTATTGTTTGAGACTGAAATTTCAAATTTGAATTCAAATCCCCTTGGAATGGAGGTTGGGATCATTTTTGGATGAGGTTTTCATTGAATAGTTGAAAATCAAAAAATTTATAAAAAAAGAATAAAGAAAGCTGTTTTGTTGACATTCGTATTATGCTTGCTTACGTAAGCAATTAGATATTAAAACTGAATATGGTGACCATGGCATTAACCTTGCCATCAGTGCTAAATCATAGAATGGGCTTTCAAAACACCAGACTGCTTTGACAAGATCACAGACCAGACCCATGACATATGCATATATTATTCACAGGTCATGGAGCTTGCCAGGTCCATATTGCTGATCTGGATTTTGGTGGATAATAAAAGTTTGCAATGATTTATCAGTTCAAGTCAGGGTCTTAATTTAGAGAACTACTAGTTTCATGTACCCTTGCTACACTGCAGGCCGACAAAAAAACCATTCAAATTTTTTTTATTAAAAGCAAGTTAAAATTCAAATATATTGAACAAGTTCAACAAATATTGATATGTGAAAATAAAGTAAATAGATTGCCTATTAAATCGAAAACCTATACATTAAAGATCAATAACATTTGGGGTTCTTTTACCTTTTTCAAATTTATCACATGTATATTAGGAGAGCTGAAAAAAAATAAAACCATGGTCCACTAATGAATTGGTCACTTATTCGCCATCATAGAATGATGTAAACAGATTAAGACCTGTAATAAAAACTATAAACAAAACTATTTCACAACCAGAACTCTCTGTGAGTGTGTGCATGTCCACAATCGCATCATTGTACATGCATGTGATTAGAATATCAATATATCTCGGTGTTGTGCAGGATCTGACATGTGGATAATTGCGTAAAACTAAAGCAACCTTTACAATATATTACCTGTGCAAATGCATAAATTGCTCGCAAGATTCTAGCATAATCAGTTCCAAGCATTTGAATGACTACATCTGCCAGAAATGTGCCCCACAACCTGTATGAAAAACCAACAGAAATAAAGCACAGGCAGAAGGTAAAGTTTTAATCAATGACTAAGCCAGATAGTTGACTGAGGTATCATAACTTATGTCTTATGGGCATCTGCATCGATGCAGCACATGTAAACTCAAAACATACCAAATGACAGTCACTAACAAACTTTGCACATGCCTTCAAAAAAGTAGGTTGATCGAACACCCTGGTTTTTTTAGATAAATGTCTTTGATAAATAGGGTAAAAAACCAAGCAAACTATGATTAAAAAAAGACAAAGACAACAGCAAAAAGAAAATAGATGGCCCTCCTAGCAAAACCAAGATTTCATTCACAAACTTTAGACTAATAACAATAGTTAAAGCACGTTAGATGCATGCCCATCCATTTCAGACCACTTCAGATGTCACTTCATAAACTAGAAAGGTTAATTGTAGCAAACCAAAATTTATTTTATAAGTCAATCCTGCGTCTTCAGAATTCAGAATTAGGATACACATGCAAAATTATATTTGATCACTAAAGTTTCTCTGATTGCTGAAATAAAAAAGATACAAGTAGCATCAGCCTACAGAAGTAAACATGCAAATAGAATTCATAAATAAAAACAATTATAATTATTACACAACTAATTAGAAAGTTCAGATTTATGAAAAGATTTTCTTGTATGAGCAAGTCTAAACATAACTTGGTGGAACGAAATTTTATATTTGTGTCTCTAGCATAACGCGGAAACCATGGAGCTTCAAACCCCATGATGTTCAGACAATTTTGTTAATGTTCTTCAAATCAATAGGCTGTCCTTATCACTCTTCAGGACAGTGAACACACATGAATTTACATCATATTCTCCAACCATGAATCCTATCAGTTGTCTTAATGTTAGTGGCAATCAGGAAAAAAAAAAAAGAATGGAAATAAGCAAAGATAAAACATAAATAAGTTATTAATTGAAGATGGGATGATATACATTGGACCAAGCAATGACATCATGCTCCTCAAACCCAGGTATCTTGATGCAGTGCCAACAAAACCCTGTCCACAATAAAAGTATGAGAAATACCAATAAAGAGAATAGCCATAATATTCATTACCTTGCACCAGAAAAATATAGAAAAAAATACATAATTATGATTATTGTGTTAGCACAGATTAAGTTGCAAAACATATTTATGCAATTAATTGTCTAGATTACTATGCTAAGATGTCCACATCCTACTTGAATTAATCAGAAAATATTGATATTCATCAATTTTGAATCTTATTGAGCATATTAATAACATGCATATCGTAGTTAATAACAACTATTTTATGTTTATTTAATTTCCGATAAAAGAGTTCACACAAATGCTTCACTTGCATGATATAACCACCAACTACAGTGGCATCTTCAAAGCACGGAAAAGCTTTCAGAAACTTGTTAAATATAATGATAAAATTACCTGCTTTGCTGCAAGCAGGGCAACTCTGGACTCCAAATTAATGGCAGCTAATTGTCCACCCTTTGTACAAAGAAAGAAGTGTGTACATGTTAATGATTTTTTACATACTATCTAATATGTAGAGTATCTGATTTGAGCAGAGGATATCTGAAGTTGTAGCAAGATGGCCCATAAATTCAACCAACCAGGAAATACCAAATTATGCAGGGAAAGAAAAAATTCATTTAGCATCATGAGGGAAAAACGGAAAAGACCCAACATATCTATACAAATAAAGAGGACACAGTTAGTCAGATTGAAAGTGAAACGATCACCTCATTGAAAACCACATAGGTTTCACTAGAAGCTTGGTAACTACCCAAGCACCAGAGAAGCCAAGCTTGTGCAACTATTCAGAGGATCAATCAGAGCTCCAGCCAAGCTTGGATGTTTTACTTCTTAACAATGAAAACATGAAAGGCTATATATTTAACTTGGCTCTGCTTGATCACAGGCCATACACTTAGGCACAGCAGGTCAGGATAACAACCACAATCTCTATATATTCAGCTCCAGGAAGCCTTAATCCTGTCTACAGCCTGTCAACAACATGAATCCCTATCTACTGACCGAATATTTATGGCAAAAATTACCCTAAAACACTTTCTTTCTACTTTAATTGACAATTTTATTGTAAAAGCAAACTTCCACAGTTGATTATTTTTTTCCTTCCAAACTAACAATATTAGCTTAAATTTATGTTGAGATCCTTTGTAAGACTCTGAAGATGCATCTAGTACTTTGGCATTTGGTTTTAACAATATTCTCATACGACATGTTCAAATAAAGCACAAGTTGAGTTAACAACAGTGACATGAAAGTAACATATAGTTTATTTTTAGGTACTCTGATATGTACAATTTGGTGAGATCCTACAGCATAGTGCCTGAGCCAAAGCAATCATGTATTTCTTAGAAGACATTAGGGCATTAACTTGTCTTGCAGGACCTTTGCAAAGTAAATGTTTGACTGCCACATTTTATTAAAAGAAAAAATGTTACTTTATTCATATTCCTTCCACAACTAGATAATCATGCTGCCAATCATGTACCTTCTTGACAATTTCCTTTTTCATTTGATAGTTTGCAGCTTCTAGAAACACCTTCCCCGTTAATTTCTTCGCTAACTACCACAAAAAGAATGCTAGCTTAGGAACACAGTGAGATGGTCAAGATGAAATATGCTAAAAAAAAAAATCTTGTGATCTTACCCATTCATAAATTCTTGTCAATGTAAACACACCACCACCCTTGACAAAGAAAAGATATAATAAATGAAACAAAGAAAAGGAAAATAAGATCAGTTTTAAGTAAAAACTCATCCAAATTATGCTAGTGCGAGAATGTGAGTAACCACCTTCAAAATAATTGACTGGAGATCTGCAGCCCCAAGTTTCTGTGCAGCAAGGGCTTGTACCTTTTCTTGACTAAGTCCGATTCCTAGACTACCTTGATCATCTGAGGTCTTAGATAATTCCCATAAGCCTGGAAAAGTTCCTGATTGTTCACTATATGATGGTGGAAGTAAGTTTTTTAATTCATTTTATAACACCCTCAAGAGGAAAGAAATGAAAATTTTGCCTACAAAATATGATGCTTAATATTGAGAGATCACCCCAAAAGGCCATCAACTATAACCAGCTATACATGTATGCATGAGAGAAGTGATAATAGAAGAGGCAAACTGATGAACTTTCATCTTACAACTCTAATGCAGAATTTTTATAGCAAGGCCACACTGATATAATTGTTTAAAACATTGGAAGTGAGCAATCAACATAGCATTCTGGCATTGAAAAGTTTGAAATAAAATAGCAGAAGGTAAGGGCCGCAACCAATCAGATAACGAATTCTTCTCTGTATAGATTGGAACATCATCTAACAGAAACTATAGACAGCTATGAACATGATATCAAGCTACAACCAGAACTCTCCATGAGATTCAATGTGTTCTGAAAATACAAAAACTGTGTTCTTTATCCCTCTCTTTAATGAAAATCCTCATTCCATCTTGCTTTAAAAAAAAAAAAACCTTTAAAATAGTAGACAGATAATTCTTTAAATTTACCAACAATCAAGGAAAAAGAAATCCATATATTACAAGTTCTCCTCGATTCAAGCACATATGGAGCAAGGTCGAAAGAAGTGGATCATGTATAGAACAAAAATGTCCAATTCAAACATTGCTCCCCATGTTATGATAAAGCTTTATGTTGACTATTAACCCAATACTAAAAAAAGTTTCTGTCAACATTTAAAACCGCAATATATTATTCAAACATTTGTTATTTTTTACAACCACATGAATCTTTGTACACTGCAACGAAATTTGCAAACACATTTTCAACAATCAATCAATCAATCCATTTTTTCACTAACATTTCTCGATCCCCCCTCATCTTCTCTTTCTTACCAAAGTAAGGAAACAATCAACGCAACCAATCACTACATCTACCTAACCAATTCTCACACAATAAACATTTACCTCGCATATTCCTCAATTAGATGAAGGAAAATCTCCGCTTCTAGGTCTTCCGTCGACAATTTACTCGAGCAACGAATATTCAACTTCTTCCTAACAGTAAGCAACACATTTCTATAGGTAGGCCTCCAACCCCTACCACAATACAGCATATCCAAAAATAAATTTATAATTACACAACTATGGCATGAAAATATCAACCAGAAAATTCGAAACCGACCTCAAAGTGGACCGGGCATCGGCGGCAAGGAATAAGAACCGGGACTCAAGAGACGATAAAAAATCTTCTCGTTCTTCAAGGTCATGATCAATCATTGCGTAATCAATTTCCGCTTTTTTACTTGCTATTGATTTTAGTAAAGGACTGAAGTAACTGAAGTTGATAAAATAAGAAAAATAAGGATTACAAAAAATAACGAAATGAATATACTAACTTGGAAAAAAAAAAAAACAACATGAATTACCTGGGACCGAAGAGGATTTTTTCGAGTTCATACAACTCTGAGTCAGTGGCGAGTTCGAGTACGGACCGAAGTTCAGGATCAAATGCACCGCCTTGGCTTTTTGGTGAAATTGCGGCATGGCTACAGCGGACTAGTGATACGACGTTTTTACGCCTGATTGAGCTGCGAAGTGAGATAGAGAGATTGGGAGTGGCGGAGATGAAAGAAGGCAGAGAGCGGTGAAGAGGAGATAATGCTGAAGGAGTTGCAATGGCAGTCGCCATGGCTGCTAAAATCTCCGATTAGTCAGTTTCAGTGAGCCACTCATTCTTGTTGAGAGCGGACCCCTTCTTCCGATGGAGTAGAATTTGTTTCTGTTTTATTACAAAGAGAGTCTTATTATTGAGATAACTATATTTTTGGTACCTATATTTTTTCAGAATTTCTATTTTGAGCTTCTATATTTCAATACTTTTTATTTGAATTTTTTTTTCAACGGACCTTTCTTGTGAAATTTAACCATAAAAACAAAAACTCCAACGTAATAGCCTCATGATGAAGGTGGTATGATCCTTTTTTTCTACTTTTTGAATTTAAATATTAGAGTAGTATTTAATTTTTCTTTAAATATACAACATCAATGTTGAAATATATCATTTTGAATTATCTAAAAAAACAATCTCGATTGATTTGTATACTATTTCAAAAATATTCTTTATCGTTGAATAAAAAAAAAAAAAAATGAGAACCTAGGGATTGAAACGTCAAATCCATCATCGGTTGCGAAATATCTAGCACAAAGGAAAAAAAAGCATTGGTTGGGGACTGATTTGTGAAACACATGACAGGTTGGGGACTATTTTATAGTTACTCCAAATAAAAAAAACTACAAAAGATGATGGTTTGAAACTCCGGTTTTTCTCAGATGATAGGTGGGGCATGATAAATTTCTTAAATTTGAAATGATTTCTAAGATGTTATGACCAACAGCTGTTCTAGACATAAAAGATTTTGATCATATGGTGAATCCTGAGATGAAATCAGTAGCAGAAACTAAACTATAACCCTGCCAATTGAGGAACAGCAATCTGCCAAATTCAAAACAATTAATTTCCAGTTTCAGTCCCAATCAGAGGAAATGAATTGCCCATAAGAAATGGGTTGCCCCTCATTTACAACCATCCACGCTATCAGATTAAATTCTTCGTCTTTTGGTGAGAATAAATCAAGATTATCATAGTTCTGGTCGGCATGATTAAAGCAGGGAAAATTCATATCCTTCAAATTGTGATGCCCTGATAGATAGATAGATATTGAATTGAGAGACAACACATTGAGCACACAGAAAACAGATAGAGGGAGAGAGAGACTTGACAGTGAAAAATTGTATTTTGGTCTAATATTACAAACATTCTCCCAGAAAATAACCCAGATTCTGACCTGACATATATCGTTGCAAGCAAGATATTAAATGAACCATTCTCATATAAAAGGCACTACAAAATTACTATAAAACATCTCTACACAGTGCCAGTGAACTGGGAAAAATACCTGATGACTTTTGACGAGGACTGACAACCTACTCACACTTGATGGACCCATATATATGACGGACAAAAAGCAAAGCTGCATGAAAACCTACAGTCCCCAGCATGAGGAAGACACCAAGGCAGATACAAGCCATGTAGCCAAAGAAGAATGAGGTTTGCATGAAACCAGACATATCCGTTCGTGCATAGTAGTAATACACGCAGTAGGCATACATAAATATGCCAGTTGATCCACCACAGAGAAAAGACCTGTTTCCAAATAAAGCACGGATATTGATCCTCCAAAACTCAGATATATGTTCAAGATATACAGAAAATTTCGATAGAGAGAAGGTAGAAAAGGAGTGCAATCAACATCCATTTAAGGTGGACCAACAAGGAATTGGCAAAAACATTTTTCTACATAACTAATTTATGCTCTTCCATTTGATTTCATTCATCTACATCTAATTAAAAATTGCTACACTCAATTGTATTCCAAAACAACGATAGCCCAAATTCCAACATTTTTTTGCAGTAAAACCTAAGTCCACAATCACCAAAACATTAAGAACTAAGTTGTATGTATATATGTAAATGTAATAAGAAATGAAGCTATAGATCAGGAAAAGGCTGGGGGATAGGATAAATAATAGCTGCATACCTCCAACACCATTTGTGGTCCTCAGAAGCAAGTTGGAAATGGGTCAATACCACCATAATGAAACCCGTGACTATCAGAAGAATAATAAAGATAATGAAAAAGATGCCGTAAATGGTATAAACCCTGTGACCCCACACAGTAACAAATATTTAGTAAAGTTCATTGTATATAAGACTGAATGGCAGAAATCCTGCCAATGCCATTTGTGGAATTATTCGACGATGCCATCGCAATGGTGGAATCTCTCTGGGATATTCAGTGGTACGACAAGGAGCTTGGAACTCAGCCTTGCTATTCTTCCCAACAATTCCACCTAAAACGAGCAAAGGAGATGATAAAAGTGTCCATATAAGAACTATCACAACAGTTGTGCCAAGAGGAAGAGCTGCGCTGGCAGTATAAGCAACTGCAATGGTATTCAAGAAGCAGAACGTGAGGAAAAGAGGACCACAGAAGAGAGATCCTGTTAACAATAGATTTGTAACCCGCCATGATTAAAGATAAAATTAAGTTACATCATCAAATATTTTTCAGTTCCAAGCCATCCTCACTGAGAAAGTTCATGAGCAAATACCCAGTTAGTTCCTTCAAGCTGACAGTAAAAGGAGATTGCAGTGTATCCTGCAATTCCTGATGTGAGAGCATATATGACAACCGATGCGGTGAGCAAAGCTCTACGGTTGTATGGATAAAACACTCCAACTGGTGCCAAAATAAAAATGAACATCGTGCTGCAAGGCACAAAAAAAAAAAAGAAAAAAAAATACATATCAATTTTTTTAAGAAAAGCAATAATAACAACGATAAGGGATGGACAAATCACTTACAGAGTCAACAGCTGGGTTCCAGAGCCAAGGCAAGCAGCAAACAGAGACTTGTATTTGGGATTCCTAAATACATCTCCATGAATGCATTTCCAACCAGTCTCTTTTTGATCTTCAGCTAATTCCTTGTCATTTGCATATCGAAATCAAAACAGAATGCACCAATGAGCAAAGAGTAGTAACATATATATACATCCGAGGACACTGGAACATGAATACACCAACCAAAATGAATATAATCAACTGAGAACACAACTCTTACTTGACAAAGTCATTGTTAAGAATTCGCAAGATTGCAGCAAGAAATCCAGCAAGAAGAAGAACTGTCATGCATGAACCAATAACGGAATGCCGATGGATCTCCAAATGATGAGGCAACAGAGATGACTGAGAGTATTTATCCATCCTCTTCTCAAAATGGGTATCTGATCCATCCAATTCACATCATACGAAAACTCCACTTCAACCTCTTTATCCTCAGTGGGATCCACCACCGCATTAAGATCCGTTTTAGCCAATAAATCAATCACACGATCCTTATTGTAAAAAATATCAAACTGAAGATGTTTGTATAGGTAATATATATGCTTGCTATGTTTCATATCAAACGGGCAAGTCATCAAAATACATTTGAAAATAATAGTCCCCACTAACAGCAGCGCGAAACTTGGCAACATCTTCCTTTGATAACTTCTTCTTGCAAACAGATTCAGAATGTCTTCCCCGTAGAAATTCAATCGGGTATGGCGCACTTACCAAACGATCCCCATTCAGCATTTCACCTAGAGCTAGCCTTTTCTCTTTCGCATTATCTACAAGCAAAGCCAAATCAAATAAATAAATAAAACAAGCTCTCCTGTCTCCATTAAAGCTAAAAGCAAATGCCAAATAAGAGAATGGCATTTCGACAAATACTAACCTGGCAAGCAATATGGAAGATCAAAATACCGGTAGGTTTCACTGGAAAGAAAGTACACAAAACATCATTAATCAATAACAGCAAAAATGAGGAATTTCAACATGAATTGAGTAATTTTACCTAGGATTATGAAAGGGTCCGACTTTTGTTAGGATTAGAGAACCTGGTCTCCTTGTTTGTACCTATGATCTGATTCATATGAGCTCGCCTGATCCACACTCAAGATTAACAAAACGGCGACGAATAACATCATCGTCGTCAAAATCCTCTCCGCAATTTTGTTGTTGACTAAATTCTAGTTTGCAAAAGCCGGGATTTTAGTAGTTGGCGGGATCCCCATGATTTGACTACGATTGAAAATAAGTAAAAAAGAGTAGCGTTGACTTTACACGAAGACATTTGAATTGTTCGATGAAATTATTTTCCTGGGCAGTGACGGGTTGACAACATGTGTGTCAATGAACAGTTTTGACAACAGTTGCAGTGGCCTTTGCAAGTATTGGGATTATTTTTCTCGTTAATACCTTCCATGTCCTTATACAATCGCGTAATTTTTTAATCTGTTTTCTAAAATAAACACCTCCAATCTATTCTAATATTTTGAACTGTTTTTAATCTATTCCTGTTAAAAATTTTGACCGATGTTTAAAAATTAATGTTCATATTAATAGATATAAATTATTTATATATATAAAAAAAGTTTATCAAATTATATACTATTTATAAATCACATGTTTAATTTGATTTAATTTAGTAAAAAATTTTAACTAAAATGATAAATTAGAAATCAGTTTAAAATATATATATAT